TATATCACATGCACAAGCAAATAAGCATGAACATCCTTTATTCATTCGCTATTCACATTTATATCCCAAGCAACCTTCAATTTCCTTTTATATCTCCATCACCCCTTAAAATTTAATTTGTTCACTTCCCAATCCGATCATCACCACAAAGCGTAACACGCAGTATGCAGCTGCTCCATATACTTCGACTAGTCCTCAACGATTTTAATTTCAATCCAATTTAATGCCCGTACTGTAACCTTGAATTGAGTAAACCCCCTCTCCACCCCATTCGATCGCACAGTCTCTCTACTTATCGATAGAGTGATAAGATAAGAGATGTACGCACCTAAATCACTCCGCACGACCCGAAGGCTCCAACTACAAAAGCAAATAAGCGGTCAATCAGCAACCGTGCAGTAATATAAAGTAAAATATAATAATTTACAACACAACTGCATACCTAGCAACTTCCGCTGATTGTAATAGGAGGATGTAAAAGAGTATAAATGAACTTCAACTGAAGAGATCAATAGACTTCTTACATTGTGATTGATTCCAGATGAAATACTGCATCATTCATTATGGCTTTGCAAATGCAGTTCACATTTATGATTATAGTTTCATAGATAAACATTATTATAATTATACATCTTTCGGAAACTTTTTCTTATTCGACCCTTTATACGCACATTCAAGAAATACCACCTTGCTAATAATGAATACCCTCTACCTCTGCAAGGCTGCTCAAGTCATTGTGATGTTTGCAGCAGCGCCTCACTGTCGCATTCATCAATTGAAAGAAAGGAATTCCAAACAATGAGCCTCAAGGACAATTGCCCTCGAGGGCAGCTGCCCCGGGGCCAACTGCTCCCTGTACTACTGCTCTCCGACAACTTGCCTCCATGACATTCATTTCCTTAAATAAAAATTCCTTCGATTCGAAGGAACCTATTTTGTAGCTTGGATCAAAGGCCCAGGCTGAGGCTCATCTCACGGCCACAGCCGAATCTCAAGGACCGTTGTGCCTAAATTAAGAACGCAAAAGTGATAAACCATCTATCGCAATCAAGCTGATGCAAAAAGGCAATTGCTTGTCCCCGGGGTAATTGTCCCAAGGGCGGCTTATTAGTCTTAGAATCGAAAGAGACACAACCTTACAGTTCGTCTCAGTATTCACAAAAATTACAAGACGACAGACAAAACTGGAACGTGATTTCGTTGCAGGTAACAATATAAACAGTGTCTCTAATTGTAAGTAAAGCCAAAGCGATGCGATGCAATAATAAAACAGACCCAATGCGCGAAGAATAATTGAATGTGCACGTAAGCAGTAGCACTCAACTAAATCAATTGAACAATCAATCAATTCAACGATCAACTACGAGAGATCAATAACGGATCAATGACAACAAAAACAATAACCGATATCATACAAGCATTAAAAAATTTCGAAAGAACCAAAGAACCTTACTGTTTCTTGGTCGAGAATTGGCTTTTCAGGTTTGATATCAGTATGATTGCTATTTAGATTAAAATTATTGTTAATACACATCGTTAACACTAAATGCTGCTGTGATGTTGCTGACGATGTTGTCTCCTCGTCTTCTTGCATTGAACCTAAAACGCATCAAGATCAAGCGTTCACTAAACCAGCATAAAACTAACCGTCCAAACGGCGATCATCTCAATAATATCTAACATGACAAATATCTGGTAATCTGATAATATATGATAATATCTGTCAAAAAAACACTAACAAATCATATCTTAAATTACACTGTATTATATTACAAGCCAGAAACCATAAGCGAAACAACAAACAAAACGACGAGCAAATGCCCTGATTGATGACCAACGACACAATCGTTCATCGCAGTATTAATTAATCTGCAGCACCTCTTCCATCCATCCATCCATCCAGCTATATCCCAAACCAATCTTCCAAATTATCTCTCAACAAAACACAAATCCTTCCACTCCCCCTTCCACCATTCCATTCCTTACAATAAACTCATTCACATCTCTGAATCTCACAATCTTCATTCTATCTATTTTCCACATCCAAAACACACAAAAAATCATCATACTGTAATAATGTTCCTTCCTTTATCACAAAACAATACCAACACCATAATACTATAGCATATCTTTATATCTGTCTTTATCTCGTCCATCCCCAATATATATCATCTTATCTTCCGATTTTATCTGCATTATATTTTCATATTGTTTCCTTCCTTTTATCTTTTGCACAAAATATTTTCTCAACTGTCAATTTCTCATCCAACAACATTACCACCGAAATACAATATCAAATCATATGACAACGTCCCCTTCTCACCGTAATACTGCATACAATTACAAACGAATCTAACTACCGAGCAAAATAAAAAACTCAGAAAGTGCTTCATAAAAGGGCATTAAAAATACGAGAGAAAAGGACAAAAGATGAACAGATAACAGGAATACAAGAAAGGACGATAAAAAAGACGTCAAAGCGATGTCTTAACATAACTTTCAAAAGTTATTTCTGTTCACTGAGTTGTAAAACACCCCACGAAGGTCATCTCCACCACCAACAAAAGTAAAGAATCACACCCGTTCCCCAAGTATTCACCCACAAACATCCATCCATCCCTCCACTACCAAATACCCGTCATAATTCCAATTCACCTTTACAATCAAAACCATAACAATCACTATTACCATAAACAACACCAATCATAATGCAACGATAATAATCCGCTTTATACCGCCCTATTAAATCAGACATCAGCATCACTCCAATAAAAATATATACTGTCCCGCTAATAGTACTCCTGATGTTGATAATCAGTGATCAAAGTTAGACTTCCATGAGGCCAAATGAACGATTCCTTACGCTGGTATCTTTGGTTGTGCGGGAGGAATGATGCCAACGAAGGAAGAAAGTGATATTTGTGATAAGAGAGTGGCATGAACTGGTAATTGCTCATTAAATAAACAATCACAATAATAGTAATAATAATAACAGTGCATCGAAACAATCATTAAGCATAAAATTCCCTCACCTCATCGCGGTTACAAAATGAATCTGACTCAATCTCCCCTCGTATCAAGCTACTTTCTATCGAGACTGCTAAACCTTTCCTTAATATACCTAATCAACTGCTAAAGGCGATCGAACGCATGATAATTAACTAATACCCATATAACACCTCCAATTAAAGTTCAACTCAAAGTTACGAATTAATGACAACTTCAGTTGAGTGTATAAATCACGAATGATGCATTACATTTCAATATCAATTGCCCCTAACGAAGCAATTTCCCCTCCTCCACCCAAAAAATGCCTCATCTACATGCCAATTTCCAAAAAAAAAACCTGAATTCAAAATCACATCATTAAAATTCAATTCGCCAATCTGCTATCAATACAACACGATCCCAGTTCAACACACCTGTTCACCAAAACTCTATTCAAGTTCGTAATTCAAATATCAATTCAATTTCATACTCACAATCAGTGAAATGCAGTCTCAAACGAAATTAATGAATATCCTTACAAAACGATTCCATCAAACAATGAATATCAAGGCAATACTAAAACACAATTCAATACTACACACTCACAAATCAATACTCTCATAATGTTAATAACTGACTGCATATCATATCATATCATAACAATTAAATTACCTCGCAGCTACAATGCTCACACATCAACTCCAATTATTCCCATTCAAACAAATTACATAATGATATGAGTAACAAACTACATTTATGAATGTCACTTCATGACCATTTCTAAATATCACT